CTTGGCCAAATCAGTTCTTATTTAAGTTGTTCTCTATACAGAATACTGTAGCTCTAATTACCTGGCTAGAGGGAATAAATATCTTCATGGCTTCTAAGATCCTGCCTAATTTATTTCCCAAATGGTCATACTAATTTATAAGCATCCTCATGTAATAAGAGATTCAACTCTCCTGGTGCTTTTTCAGAATTTCATTCCACTTGCAACTTAATGGACTTAATTACCAATGACTTCTTTTTTATGGGCCAAAGAAGTAGCTTTTAAACAGATGTTTAGTCTGTCACTCAAAAGCAATAGTTCCCAAAGCATGAAAGTAAGTTGTTGCCAGTTGTAAACCTAATCCCATTACTCATGAGGCCAAAAGTCACCTCCCATCACCCTATTGATACGCTGTGATATACTGATTGATTTTTCTGTTGAACCGCCTTTGCATTCCTGGGACACACACTTGGCCGTGATGTAGGACCACACACTATGCCACCAGATTTCCTTTGCTATGTTTGCTGAGGATTTTTGTATCTATCTTCAGCAGGGACATTGGTCTGTGATGGTCCTTTCTTGTGTGTCTTTATCTGGCCTTGATGCCAGGGTGATGCTCCTCACAGACCTGGGAAGAAGTGTGAGGAACGTTGGTATGAATCCTGCTGCAACGGTTGTGTAGAATTCTCCCTCAAACCACCTGGCCCTGGGATTTTCTTTGTTAGGGGGCTTTTGGTTACTGATTCAGTCTCCTTACACTGATAGATCTGTTCGGACTCTCTGTTTCTTCTGGAAGTGTTTCTGTTAATTGTCCATCTCATCTAGGTTACTGTTTATTAGTGTCCAAGTATTCATAGTATTATAATCCTTTTTATTTATATAAAGTCAATAATAAGTCCCCACTTTTATGTCTGGCTTTAGTAATTTGAATGTTATCTTTTCTTCTTTTCAGTCTAGCTGAAAGTTTGTCCATTTTATTGGTCATTTCAAAGAACCAACTTTTTATTTCATTGATTCTCTCTATTGTATCTTTTCTCTATTTCATGTATCTCTGCTCTGAGCTTTATTATTTCCTTCCTTCTGCTGGCTTTAGATTTAGTTTTCTTTTTATGTCCATATGAATTTTAAGATCAGCTTTTGAATTTCTACAAAGAAGCCAGCTGCAATTCTGATAGAGATGGTGCCGAATGTGTAGAACAATCTGAGGAGTATGTCCATTGTAACCATTTTAAGTCTTCTCCCCATGAATATGGGATGTCTTTCCATTTATTTAGAGTATCACTAATCTCTTTCAACCATGTTCTGTAGTTGTCAGCATAAAAATCTTGTATTTTTTTGGATAAATTTTTGAGGGAATTTTTTTTTAATGGGCTTTATTTGGGTTCCTTGGACATACAGTGGGCCACACCTCTCATACCTTCACCTGGTAACAGGAAGAGGCTCACATGGCACTTCCTGCTGTGTCCCCTGATCCGCACTTGTGCTGCAAGGTTCCCACAGATGGCAAGGTGGGTGGCAGGGCAGGAGGAGTTTCAGGAGAAGCAAGGGAGATGGTGCCACTTGGGGGAGGCGGGGGCGGAGGGTAGGTGGGAGGACAAGGCGGCAGAGGAGGGGAGCCCGGCCATGGCAGGGACCAGCGCCAGCTCAGTTTTGAACAAGGCCCCACTGTAGTTCCTGAAAAAACATTCTAAGTCTAACTGGTTTGGGAAAAATACATTATAGCAGAATATACCATTTTTGTACTTAGCAAGCAACTCCACGGCTCAGCTTATAGATTCTGTGGTTCTGTTTTGTCCTGTGAGAGTTTGTTGTGGGCTTCCATGTCTGTCAGGGACTTTCCCTTTAAGGTGGATGCAGGAGGGGAGAGCACAGTGAAGCCCCCGCCTCGTCCACCCACCGAGCACTGCAGGTAAGATCAGGAGAAAGCGCAGGCAGATAACTTGGCCTAAGTGAGCTCAGGCAGAGGAGACCAAGTGAGTTTCCCCCAAGGCAGGGGGCCTCCCAGAGTCCCGGCCGGCGGGGAGGGCTGCTGGTGCATGGCCCTGCCTCCGGTCTGTGGGGTGGGGTGGGTCCATGCCTTCCCAGGCACCTGGGACACAGCCCGTCTGAACAGCTCAGGCCAGTGCTTGGTGCAGGGCCAAGAGCTGGTTTACGGGGAAAGGGCTCGTGGGGCCCCACACACCCCTTCGCATCCCTGGCAGCCTGTGCCCACAGCCACCTGGAGCTCTGATGCCGAGGTGCATGTGCATCTCTGCAGGACCCCAGGAGCCCCTGTGCCTGCGCTCCCTGCACGGTGCTCCTGGCCTCCCCTGGGGATGAGCACCCCCTGAGCCCTGGGCAGGAGTAAGCGTGGGGCTCAGCACAGGACACTCTGTGTCAGTGCGCTTCCAGTGCTTATCCTACACTCAAAGAGGCACTTTTAGAATGAGCAGGCCGGCCGTCTCCTGAAATCCAAAAGTAACGTGCCTTTCCACCATAGTGTGAATGTGAGGAGACAGGTAATGAATAATGACAATAATTGTTTTTGCTTGCCCCACAACAAAAAGTGGTGTCTTGAGTAGCTGGTATTGAGGAAGCAAGGGTGCCCCCATGCTCTGTGTCCGTCACCCCACTGCCACAAGAGGCATTGCCAGCCCCCAGTATTCACTGTATGTTACATGGACATGTGGAAACAGCAGCGCAAGTCCCTGCCATACATGCCAGCATTGCCACTATTTGCGAACATCGCAGTCCTGGGTGTTGTTACCATGGTATTGTGTTCAAGAGGTAGTGCTCGAGTTTCCGCGCACACACCAGGGCGTTCAGTGAAAATGAGGACACGTTATCAGTGTGCTGCACAATCAAATTTAATTCATTTCAGTTAAACTGTTATCTTGTCTTCTGTTCTTTTATGTAGCCACATTCATAACATAGCTTCTAGGCTAAACATTAGGCAGAAATAGGAAACGTGAGTAGAGCAATAATGGGCTTGCCTTCTAATATGGAGGAAGATTAGAATTGTATTAAATTACATGCTAATGGAAAATAAAGCAAACAATAATAGGATGACAGCTTTATGCTGCTGTAAAGTCTACATCACAGCACACAGTTTTGCTATTTATCAGTTGAATATTGAATTTCCTTTGAAAACTTGCTGTTAATTATATTAAAAATAATGTAATCTAAAATAGCCCATCCTCACATATTAAAGTGCTCTAGTTATAATTTGGCTATTGAGAAAGGCAGGGTCTGAGAAGCTATGGGATGGCCACTGCCAATGGACAGGCCAGCACCTTGAGCAGCAACAGGAAAGCTCTTGGAGGTAAAGGAGTCTTGGCTTCTGGAGCCAGAGGCTGTTTACTGTAAGACCATACAAACAAGAGCCCTTTGCTGCCCTTCGTCAGAGGGATGCCCCCCTGCTCCGAGTCTGCTGGGATCTCTGCTTCTGGCATGTGCCCGGGTGTGATGAGTCTTGCCCCAGCTTCTTAGGGGTCCTTAAAATTCTGTCCATTCCCTGAAGATACGTCCATGTCTGAGCTGGCCTGCACAGGTGGAGCCTGGGGCCTGGAAGGGCGTTGGAGCATACCCTGGACTGGTCATTGGCAGGTGTTCATGACAAGTGGTTGATCACCAAGAGAGTTGGGTTGGAAATAACCGGGGAATCTTACCTTTCCTCCTCATTCCCACAGTCACTTCAGGTGTTCATTTGGGGTCAGCTGTGGGAGGTCAGGGTGGGTGGCTTCCTGAGTTCCCAGCAACCCTGACGCAGGATTACAGGTGGCATCACTCAGGCGAGGGGATGTCAGTGAGGGCGAGTGTAAGGAGCACTCCTTGGAGGACAGGTGCGGTGGCGGCGGGGGGCAGGGGGGACAGGGGGTAGGTAGGTAGGCAGGCAGAGAAAGGTGGGCTGGGGCTCGTCAACCTACCTGAGCCGAGGTGTGTGGTGTTGCCTGTGGAGTGGGGCTGGGGCAGACAGCTTCCTTCCCGAGAAGACGGCACGCTGGCACGTCAGGGTTGCCCACAGTCCTGCCTGGACCCTCAGCCCAGAGGGAGCACCCGGCGGGCGCACTCAGCTCCATCTGAACGAGGCCGAATCCCTCTGCTTTGTAAATGCTGGCCCAAGGGAGTTTAGAATGGGCACTACGAGAATGATAGTATTGGTAAGAAACAAGCGTTGAGAGTGTCCTCCAGGAACTCTGCTCGTGGCTGTGCCAGTCTTGTGTCCCTGGTGCACCGCTAAGGAGGCAGATGCTGCGGAGCTTAAGTAGGCCCTGTCGTGGCCTTGGAGCCACACACCTGCTGGTGGCACCGCTAGGGCCCTGACTCATGTCCAGCCCATTTCCAGATGCCAGGCTTGTCCACTGCACTCCGCTGCCCTGCAGCAGCAGACCCACACCCTTGCAGAGGCGGGCTCCCAGTCTCTTCATAATCTGTGTGCAACGTGGCGTCTCACAGTCAAAGCACTTTCTTCTTCACTGGGTAGAGTCTTGCAATTCAGAACCAGCTACCTGAAATAAAGGTCAGGACATGCCGATTCAGGCCGTGTTTTGACTCACGCTGATGGCCATGAGAGGCCGCCTCTCCTAACCTGCACGACGTGGCACAAAACAAGTGATTTCAAAACGAACACATGGGTGTGTAGCCCATGCACTTGCCAAGTGATATCACTAGTTAAATAGTATGTTATTCTTTAAACTCCTTAAACTGAATTGCAGTTCTCAAATCTAAATGCAACACAACTCATTTTCCCCCCAAATTGTTTAATACCACAAAATCTTGCTGCCAAGAGGCCTGATGAGTCTATTAGACAGTAAGTATTTGTAGTTGTAAAACATTGGGGAACATCAAATTTTATTCTTAATATTCTCATACTTGGAGGCAGTTGACATGGTATCAGGGAAGATAGCCCACTGGTTGCTCCTTGGCAGCTGGATGAAAGTACATCCCTTCTGGGCGTCAGACAGCTCACTTCTCCACCACGGGAGGACCGCTGTCCAGATTCCCGCTAAGTCTTATGTGGCATTTCTGTGTTTTCTCAACAGACCAGCAGTATCCGTGGTCGCCCACTTCGCACTTCAATGAGGAAAGATACTCGCCCGCTCCTAGGAATATGAAAGGGCTATCTGGGGGTCGGAATCAACCACAGTTGTGTTCCGGTCATACCTGCGGCTTGACGCCCCCCGAGGACTGTGCACACATCCATGACCACATTCACCATGGGCAGGACACGAGGCAAGCCTACCCACTCAGCCCGGCGGAGAGCTGCCCCATGGACCACCGGCACTGCTCCCCCCGGAGCTCGGTGCACTCAGAGGGCCTGGTGATGCCTGTGGCACTGGGCGACCACCTGTCCAGCAGCACCTTCCCCAGGACACACTACAGCTCGCACTATGACACCAGGGGCGGCTGTGCCGGGACCCACGCCAGCACCAAGACCAACCGGATCCCAGCCAACTTGCTGGACCAGTTTGAGAAGCAGCTGCCGCTGCACAGGGACGGCTTCCACACGCTGCAGTACCAGCGGGCGCCCACGGCCGCCGAGCCACGCAGCGAGAGCCCAGGGAGGATTCGGCACCTCGTCCACTCTGTGCAGAAGCTCTTCACCAAGTCCCATTCCTTAGAAGGCTCTTCCAAGAGTAACGTGAATGGGACCAAGGGGGACAGTCGGGCAGATGGCCACCACCACGGCCACCACCCCAAGCACGGCAGACGGAGTAAGAGCAGGGAGCCGAAGCCCGAGAGCAAGCACAGGCCGGGCACGAGCAGCTGGTGGGGCTCCGACGACAACCTGGACAGCGACAGCACTCACCGGGCACCCAGCGTGGTGCCCAGGCACCATGTGGACCATATGTCCCACTGCTGCCCCGAAGCGCTGCAGGGTCCCTTTGGGGGTCTCTCCCTCAGGCCTTCCAAGAGCAGCAGTGACACTCAGTGCTCAGCCTGTGAGGGCTTGGCCCTGACGCCGGACACCACGTACATGAAGCGGAGCTCCTGGTCCACGCTCACCGTGAGCCAGGCGAAGGAAGCCTATCGCAAAAGCTCCCTGAACCTAGACAAGCCCCTGGTCCACCCGGAGATCAAGCCATCCCTGAGGCCATGCCACTTCCTCCAGGTAAGGGGTCTCGGGAGCATCACACCCGCACCCTTCCGCCTACCCAGCAGATGGCAGATGGCACTGGCTGGCCTGCCAGGGAGCCTCTGGGACACCCTGACACTCCTTAAACTGGACCCCTAAATACGACAGGCCCTTCCTTTAAGGCTGGAGGATTCAGCCATAGCCACACAATGTGTTATTAACCCACGTAATGCTTTCTCATTTGAAATCAGCTGGTCTGGCCCAGTGGGAACTGCTCTGCAGGCTGGGTGCATGCACTGCCCATAGTGAGAATAGTGCCTGAGCCTTCAATATGCCAGGGAGTGAGGTTAAGAAGATGCACCCCCTCCTCTGGGGTGTGGGTTAAAGTAGTTCACCAAAGGTGAAAGCAAATGGAAGACCAGGGTGGGAGGCAGCTCACTGTGGAATTACATAATTTCCTCTCATCGCTGCCTCCGGATCACGCTGCACTCCGTGTCCCAGGGAGACTCCCACCGCCCATAGGGGCACCTCTGTGGTCGCTGCTAGCCGCTCAGGTGCTGGTAGCGGGACTCAGAAGTCAGGTTTCACTGAAGCCCCAATCAGCTCCAGTTCACAGGCAGGGCTACTGGCTGGGCCAGGCCAGAAGGGCCACGGAACCACGGGCTGTCCTGCCGAGTACAGCTCGGCCATCAGCAAGCAGCTCACACTGCCGGCCTTCTCAGAGGTCTGGGGTTCAGGCCCGTCCAGAACTCAGGGTGCCATTGTAGGCTTTTGTCCAAAACCTGGCAGTTATTTTTTAAAAGGAAATGCTCCCCAAACTGCTTTTACAGGCAGATTTATTAAAAAAGACAAGTTGGTAGTGGGATGAAATATTATTCTTACAGTAAAGGGAGACTTATTTTTGCTCTTTGGATTTGGGCAAATCCTAACATATAAGAACGTACAGTCTTCACCCGTGCGCGTTTGAAGGAACAGTCAGGCTTTCCTCCAGGCGTCGTCAGAGAAGCAAAACTCCCTTGCTTTTCCATGCTTGTAGCTGGGAGATCTCCCGGACACTGTGCCCTGTGGTGTTTGGCCCTGGGTCCCTGACCCCGGAACCTGCCCACCTTGCTGGCGTTCCTCTCACCCGCCCCCTGAAGCTTCCTTCCCAGACTAGCCTTTCCCTTCCCCTCAAAGCTCTTTTAAGTTTGTTCTAAAAATGGAAAAGATTAGTCCTCTGTAAGGTGAGATGTCATATAATGAACCCATATACTTACCACCCAGCCCCAAAAATCACCAGTTCACGGCCCTCCGGTCCCAGTAGATGCCACCCACCTTCCTGCCCAGGCTCTGCTGACAGAAGCCCGTATGGCCAAGGGGGGTGTTTCCTGCCTGTCTCTGGAGGATGCACACTAAGGACTAACTGCAGTGCCATCATCAGACACGAAGAAATAGCTGTAATGCCGTGACCTTCCAAGTGCCACGCCCATGCCTGTCTCCCTGGCGATGCCATGTCCTTTCAGTCCATTTGTGCCAGGGTGGCACCAGATGCAGATGAGAGGCCCTGCAGAAGTGGCTGTCCCTTATTTCCACAGGGCTTCCCCTGCTTTCTGTGTCCTTCCTGGGAAATGTCTTGGTCAGGAGGCAGTCTGTGTGGCTGCACTTCCTGCAGCCTGAGCTCCACCTGCACCTGCTCTCACTGCCCCAGCCTCCATGGCCCTTGTGTTTCCATCCGTCAGCAGTCGGGCCGCTGGCTTGTGGCTTTTCAGTGGATGCTGGTGTGTCTCTGAATAGTCCACATTCCCTCATTACATGTCTCAGCCAGCCTCTGAGCTGTTGCCCCCGCAAAACATGCCTTCCAGAGTGAGAACATGTGGTCCTCACATGGTAACGTGGGAAACGGCTGTCTGTGACGAAGCTGTGACTCAGTGGTGCCCCAAGCTCAGCAGACAAGGCTGTGCGGATCTCAGGTCCTGCACAACTTGCATGATGACCTTTCCATGTGGTCTGCAGACTCCTTGCACCCACGACACACCCATGTGATGGCTAAACGACATTCCTGTCCATACAGCGGCCCATACACTTAGCGAACTGAGCATCCCATTCACAACGAGCATTTCACAATGTCTCCTTGACTATTCTAAATGAAGCTCATGTGTCACTGACCCACACACACTGGATGTGTGTATATATGTTTTTATATAGAATGTGCCCAAACTCTAACAGAGAAATAAAAGGAAGGTAACTAACTAAAAAGATGAATTTTAATATATAAATGTCTGGGCACAATGACTAATAAGGGCAGAGTGAAGTCTTCAGAAGCTTGTTTCTGCATGAAGGCTGTTCATGATCCAGAGCTACCAGTTAGGGTGGCAGAGGGGTGCTGTGGCGACTCCCACGCCAGTGGCTTCACCCACCGGCTGGGATTCGGAAACGGTGAACAGTTCTTGGTAAAGCACCAAACCAAAGGTCTGTCTTCTCTTGTACATGTTTTGTGCCATCCCTGAAAAAAATCAGTATTCTCTAAAACTGTGCAAAAAACAACAAAAAACCTTTGGCCTACATACAAGCAGAGTTAGGCTCAAGGATCAGGTAATCACGGACAGGAGACAGAGGCTGGCAGGCACATGGGACATGAGCCAGTCCTCTGTGAGGCGGGACCGCTCCCCACGCGTGGGACAGCCACGGCTGCCCCAGATTTCTGTGTGACCCAGAGGTCTCCCCTTCTCAGAACTGCTGTCCTTTGTAGAAATCTGGAATTCAGAAGCCCAGCCGTCCTGCTCTCAGCTACATCCCTGGTGACCAGTGTGCCTGGTATGCACTTAAACCAGAATACTTGCTGGGTAGATGGGGAAGATGCCCTGCAGGGAAGCGCAGCATCTGGTGGAGCGTCTTCCTTGGTCTCAGCACCTGGAAGAGTCCACCACAGAGCTCTGGCCCTGTTCTCTGCACCTTGCTGCTTGAGAGAAAGGATATTTTAATATTCAGCACTGCAATATGCGCTGAAGTCAACTTAGGAAAATGCCTACTTAGAAATTAAATATCACTTATCACTACACAAGTAGGTAATCAGGGTAATTAATTGTCGTTAAATGCAGCAAAGACTACAAATTGGGTTTGCATAGGCTGGAGGCTATTGCGAAGAGAATGCATTTCATTCCCTTAATATTTTGGAATCTCTGGCCTCTCTGCACATGCCGTGCAGGTTCCTGACCCTGTGGCCCGCCTGAGAAGGTGAGCTTGCTGGGGCCTGGTGGCGCCGTAGCGCCTCCTCCGCTCTCCCAATAGTCTGGAGACAAAGGCCTCAGAGCTCTTGTCCGTCCCCGTGCTTGACGGATTTATACTCCTCCTGTACTGAAATTTCTTCATCAAAGACTGCAAAATTGGCTTCTTAAAACAGAAACAGAAAAATACAAGCTGGCCTCTTTCATTAGCTAATTCACAGGCTACTGAAAAAAAAACCCTTACTTTGCTTTTTATGGAAATATGTTTTTAGTTCACAAAAATTCCATAAAGCTGCCAACAGGAATGTGCCTTCCATGGCATATGGCCCCTTTCCATTTGTCCCTGGCCAGCCACCCTGGGAGAGCTGCTACCCGAAACACACACACAGCTGATCTGGGCCCCCTTCCATCTCAGGGACTGTAGCCTTACCCTCTCCTGCTGGTCACATGCAAATTTGCTAGAACCCAGAGCCCACCTCCTGGAAGCCTTCCCAGATTGCCTCTCTGTCGACAGCTTCTAGAGCCTGTCTCTGTTTCCTCCTACACTGGCATCTTCTGCCCTGATTAAACCATGATTCACTTCACTGAGGACTGAGTCTTCTTAAATTGAAAATAAGTTTGTTTTTTATTCTAATAGCAATACATGTCCATGTAGAAAATGCAGAAAACATACTTATAAAGAAAAATAATTGAGAAGCTCATAACCACATCTCCCAGCAATGATCCCATGCCACAACCTTCCAGCTATGTTTCTGTGCATAAGGCAGGCTATTTCTGAAGTTTAAAAAACATTGACTGTGTACTATACTTTTAAAATTGTCCCCAAACATTTTTCCATGGCTAAATATACATTCTTCTGCACTATTATTTTTGAGGGCTGAACAGAACCCATTGTATGGTAGAAATAAATATCTTAAGCCATCTCCTCTAAGATGTTATCCATGTTTCCTCCTCTACACTAATGGACAACCCGGCAGCCCCCTGTCCTGTCCAGGACGCCTCTGTAGACGGGATGCTGCCAGGCCTGAGGCTGTGAGCTGGTCTTCTGGCCCGTTGCTATGAAGGTAGGACTCCCTTTCCCACAGGGCAGGAAAGGATATAGAAGCGCCTATTTCCCAACCTTCCTCCATCCTGGCAAGATTTTTGTCAGTTGTTGAAAAGCAACTTTTAGTACAAAGTCACATGGATAAGAAGATAATTCTTCATTAATCATTTCTCTCCAGTGCGCAAAAACCCTCGAGGCGAGGAAATTTACGCCTATTTTCTCAACCGCTGACCCCTTCCTGAGTGAGCCTCCTGTGTGTCCCGGGGCCTTCCCTTTATTCTTGGTCTCCTCCTGCTCTGCCGGCTCTCAAGCACTCACAGTGCCCCTCTGACCCGGCCACGAGTCCCTGCAGACCTGCACGGGCCCTGACGCCGAGCACCTCCTCGCAAAGAGCCTGGGCACGCCCTGCTGAGAGGCCGGCAGCGCCGTCCCCCTGTGCTCTGCCAGGCCGACTGAGCTCGCCCCGCACAAGGTTCCTGAGGCTCACAGTCAAGCAGGAGCCTGGAACTCTCCCTCCTGTCCTGTGCTGTTCATCCCACTCGGAAATGCTGTGCATGTCTGCGTGCCCTGTGTACCTGAGCCGGCTCAGCCAGAGCTGCTTAGAAACACAAATGTGCAGATAGGACCCATCTGCGTCACACCACTGGTGCCTCAGGGGCTTCCTGTTGCCCAGACACCTGCACCCTGCTGTAGTTAGCAGGGTTCACAGCCAGCCTGCTCACAGAGGCTGCAGCTGCAAGGCGTCTCGCCGATGAGCAGGACCCCTTCTGAGCCCCTGCCCTGGGCTGTCTTGTGCACGGAGTGGGGGCTGCCGGAGCTGTGACTGCCTTAATAAAGTAATAAAGCTGCTGTCAGCTGGCCCACTGCCTATGTCCAAACTGGAAGGAGGCCAGGGCTCTTCTAGGGTGCCACAGGAATACACACGAGTGCCCCAGTTTGTTACAATAGGAAATGCACGGCTCTGAAGACTTCAGGTGTGGGATTTCATTCCTTTCCCAAGAACAGCACACAGGAGGCACTCTCCGGCAAGAACAGGCTGTGCTGAGTCCTGACTCAGAACTGGGTGTGATGTTCAGGTACATTCGACAGTGGTGGGGTGCTCAGCTCAGCTGTCTGCCCTGTGGGGTCAGCGTCACCCGGGCCCCGTGGCTGCACGGAGCTGGGGAGGTGCACAGAGCAGGTGCGCACGCAGCATCACCGTGTGGGGTGAGCTCCGTGATTCCCAGTGGGTGCAGTGTGAGGAGCTCAGGTCCCACGTGCAGGGATGGTGCCGGCATCTGATCAGCTCTATCCCTGCGGACGCTGGGCAGTGGGCCTCCCGACAGCAGCCCCTTCTCTGCGGTCTCAGGGCTGCAGGGGATGCAGCCCGTGGGCCCTCTGCTGGGTGGGTGGACCCGGCGAGGCCTTATGCCTACTTAGAAATTAAATATCACTTATCACTACACAAGTAGGTAATCAGGGTAATTAATTGTCGTTAAATGCAGCAAAGACTACAAATTGGGTTTGCATAGGCTGGAGGCTATTGCGAAGAGAATGCATTTCATTCCCTTAATATTTTGGAATCTCTGGCCTCTCTGCACATGCCGTGCAGGTTCCTGACCCTGTGGCCCACCTGAGAAGGTGAGCTTGCTGGGGCCTGGTGGCGCCGTAGCGCCTCCTCCGCTCTCCCAATAGTCTGGAGACAAAGGCCTCAGAGCTCTTGTCCGTCCCCGTGCTTGACGGATTTATACTCCTCCTGTACTGAAATTTCTTCATCAAAGACTGCAAAATTGGCTTCTTAAAACAGAAACAGAAAAATACAAGCTGGCCTCTTTCATTAGCTAATTCACAGGCTACTGAAAAAAAAACCCTTACTTTGCTTTTTATGGAAATATGTTTTTAGTTCACAAAAATTCCATAAAGCTGCCAACAGGAATGTGCCTTCCATGGCATATGGCCCCTTTCCATTTGTCCCTGGCCAGCCACCCTGGGAGAGCTGCTACCCGAAACACACACACAGCTGATCTGGGCCCCCTTCCATCTCAGGGACTGTAGCCTTACCCTCTCCTGCTGGTCACATGCAAATTTGCTAGAACCCAGAGCCCACCTCCTGGAAGCCTTCCCAGTTTGCCTCTCTGTCGACAGCTTCTAGAGCCTGTCTCTGTTTCCTCCTACACTGGCATCTTCTGCCCTGATTAAACCATGATTCACTTCACTGAGGACTGAGTCTTCTTAAATTGAAAATAAGTTTGTTTTTTATTCTAATAGCAATACATGTCCATGTAGAAAATGCAGAAAACATACTTATAAAGAAAAATAATTGAGAAGCTCATAACCACATCTCCCAGCAATGATCCCATGCCACAACCTTCCAGCTATGTTTCTGTGCATAAGGCAGGCTATTTCTGAAGTTTAAAAAACATTGACTGTGTACTATACTTTTAAAATTGTCCCCAAACATTTTTCCATGGCTAAATATACATTCTTCTGCACTATTATTTTTGAGGGCTGAACAGAACCCATTGTATGGTAGAAATAAATATCTTAAGCCATCTCCTCTAAGATGTTATCCATGTTTCCTCCTCTACACTAATGGACAACCCGGCAGCCCCCTGTCCTGTCCAGGACGCCTCTGTAGACGGGATGCTGCCAGGCCTGAGGCTGTGAGCTGGTCTTCTGGCCCGTTGCTATGAAGGTAGGACTCCCTTTCCCACAGGGCAGGAAAGGATATAGAAGCGCCTATTTCCCAACCTTCCTCCATCCTGGCAAGATTTTTGTCAGTTGTTGAAAAGCAACTTTTAGTACAAAGTCACATGGATAAGAAGATAATTCTTCATTAATCATTTCTCTCCAGTGCGCAAAAACCCTCGAGGCGAGGAAATTTACGCCTATTTTCTCAACCGCTGACCCCTTCCTGAGTGAGCCTCCTGTGTGTCCCGGGGCCTTCCCTTTATTCTTGGTCTCCTCCTGCTCTGCCGGCTCTCAAGCACTCACAGTGCCCCTCTGACCCGGCCACGAGTCCCTGCAGACCTGCACGGGCCCTGACGCCGAGCACCTCCTCGCAAAGAGCCTGGGCACGCCCTGCTGAGAGGCCGGCAGCGCCGTCCCCCTGTGCTCTGCCAGGCCGACTGAGCTCGCCCCGCACAAGGTTCCTGAGGCTCACAGTCAAGCAGGAGCCTGGAACTCTCCCTCCTGTCCTGTGCTGTTCATCCCACTCGGAAATGCTGTGCATGTCTGCGTGCCCTGTGTACCTGAGCCGGCTCAGCCAGAGCTGCTTAGAAACACAAATGTGCAGATAGGACCCATCTGCGTCACACCACTGGTGCCTCAGGGGCTTCCTGTTGCCCAGACACCTGCACCCTGCTGTAGTTAGCAGGGTTCACAGCCAGCCTGCTCACAGAGGCTGCAGCTGCAAGGCGTCTCGCCGATGAGCAGGACCCCTTCTGAGCCCCTGCCCTGGGCTGTCTTGTGCACGGAGTGGGGGCTGCCGGAGCTGTGACTGCCTTAATAAAGTAATAAAGCTGCTGTCAGCTGGCCCACTGCCTATGTCCAAACTGGAAGGAGGCCAGGGCTCTTCTAGGGTGCCACAGGAATACACACGAGTGCCCCAGTTTGTTACAATAGGAAATGCACGGCTCTGAAGACTTCAGGTGTGGGATTTCATTCCTTTCCCAAGAACAGCACACAGGAGGCACTCTCCGGCAAGAACAGGCTGTGCTGAGTCCTGACTCAGAACTGGGTGTGATGTTCAGGTACATTCGACAGTGGTGGGGTGCTCAGCTCAGCTGTCTGCCCTGTGGGGTCAGCGTCACCCGGGCCCCGTGGCTGCACGGAGCTGGGGAGGTGCACAGAGCAGGTGCGCACGCAGCATCACCGTGTGGGGTGAGCTCCGTGATTCCCAGTGGGTGCAGTGTGAGGAGCTCAGGTCCCACGTGCAGGGATGGTGCCGGCATCTGATCAGCTCTATCCCTGCGGACGCTGGGCAGTGGGCCTCCCGACAGCAGCCCCTTCTCTGCGGTCTCAGGGCTGCAGGGGATGCAGCCCGTGGGCCCTCTGCTGGGTGGGTGGACCCGGCGAGGCCTTGGGCTGAACCTCTAGCAGCAGCCCTGCCCCTCCTCCGCCTCTGTCAGTCCTTCTGCTGGTTCTGGAGAATTTGCTTTTTCCCCCTATTTCGTGAGCTTTCATTCCCTTTTATACCAGAAGAAACAGACCTAAATGTTGGGGTGTTTTTTCGAGGTGCTCAGATTACATGTGGGCTTTTTATCCATCCACATTCCTAATCTTTTGTCACCTTTTCCGCAATATTCTCTATCACTTTTATCATCAAAAAAGCCCGTAACTCTGCATTGATGTCCTTGTAGGATCTGAATGATGGGGCCCTAAAGAGCACCCTCCGTATGCACCAGCTTCAAACCATGGGTGGCTGTGGAGAGCCATGCTTCAGGGAGTTGGAGAGCATCGGTCCCCGGAGAGCTGCCCACGGGCGGCACTGAGTGGCGGGGCTGATGCCATGTGCGTGTTCTCTTCTAGGTGCCCCAGGACGAGTGGGGAGGGTACCCCACAGGGGGCAAGGAGGAGGAGATACCCTGCCGGAGGATGAGAAGCGGGAGCTACATCAAAGCCATGGGCGACGAGGACAGCGGGGAGTCGGACTCCAGCCCCAAAATGTCGCCCACAATGGCCCTGCGGCCGGAGCCCCTGCTCGCGTCCGCGGGACAGAGGCCGCTGGGGGAGCTCCACACGTAAGTCCACGCTGCTCGTCTCTGTGATGCTAGAACTCGCCTGTCCTCAAAACTACATAACCATGGGCCAGTTTCCCCAGTTAGAAAAACTCCAGAGATGAAAATATTAGACTTTATGGCGTCAATTTTGAAGTCCTTTAAAAAAACAATGAGACCATTGATTATTTACAACTACATGGTAATTAAGGAAATAATCTTGGGTGGTTTCAACTTCAAATACTAATTTTAAAACCCCTGTACAGCCAGTGTGGGCCATCGATATCTTTTCAGAGCACCCCAGTTATTTTCATCAGGAGTGTGTTGGTGTGAGAGTGTGTGCACAGGGGTGGAAATCGTAGTAAGAAACTTGTTGATGCTGTGACCTCCTAAGTGAATTTGTGGGCAACAGTGTCTTTGTGGAAAAGGGCAGGAAATGGGTGTGTTTTACAAATGCAATAGCATGTGCTTTATATATTTGTCTGAAGATGCATTATTGATAAATTTAGCTAAATTCCAAAATACAAACAGAAGGTGACTTGGGAGAAAGGCCGTTCATATACAGTATGGAAATAGGATGCACTTTTAAGGGTCATGCTGTGTCTGTAGGGCCCCGCCTAATCTGGGTGTGAATGCAGGGGTATGGTCTCCAGCCGCTGCCGCCCATCCCACGTCCAGGCTCAGCAGTGGGCAGCTTGCTTCTCGATGCTTTGCCAACGTCACCCACCTGTTCCCCATGCCGTGTGGGAGGCCAGTTCCGCAGACTGAACGTTAGCTTCGCGTTCTTCCTGCCAGCCCCATGCACACGGCGACCGGTCGACCAGCGTGCGGCTTCTCCCACTAAATCCAGTTACTCATTAACATTCACATGCAGGATGGAAAATAAAAATCTTGAGCCGCAGCTGATCTTAGGCTGACCGTGAACCCATCCTCATTCCTGTCAGTTAATCCCACAGGATCACCCATAATGCCAGAAGGCAGTGGTGGGGCAGGCACCTTCCTGGTCTCCACCCTGCCCTACGGGGAGGGTGGTCACAGAGTGTAGTGGGGGGCTAGCCGGCGACAGAGCCAACTTCTCACCCTGGAGCAGAGCGTTGACCTGTAGGAGGGAAGTAGGGAGGGAGGTGCACACACTGAGAACCACTGGGACCCCAGAGGAGCTCCTGGCCCCGGGACCCAGCCACAGAGGACAGACTAGACATCAGACTCCACCCTTCATTTGGGGTGTGTAAAGACGCCTCTGAGAAAGGGGAGTCATCTGGAACCTCTCTCTGGGGGGCTGGGCCTGGCAGGGTGGAGCCCCTGAGCCCCTGAACCCCTGGTGCCCACCGTGGTCTCGCGTTTGAACCACTGACCTAACTTCTCCTTCTGAGTATTTGTGATTCATACCGTGATTGTGCACATTAAAAGCAAACTGTGCTGGGGGGAGCACGCTGTGTCTTCGCTGTGAATGGGATTGGGTGGTCTTGAGAACCAAGAACTCTGTGCTAGCACGTCTCCTCCCCCTCTGCTGACCCCCACTGGCTCCGCCTGCATCCCCTCCCTGTCCTGGCCACTTGACCCTGCTGCAGGGCAGGGACCGGGCTCACCCCCGTGCATCTCAGGTCGGGTCGGTCTCTCACGAGTGCCAACATGAGCAAGGTTCAGAGGCATGCTGGGAGTTTGCATGGGAAGCCCACCTCACTCCCCACTTCAGGAAAAAGTCCCTCAAAACCCTGGGGTGACCAGGCCAAGGCTGCTCCACCTAGACATACCCCGTCCAAGTGGGCCATCAAGGGGGCTTTCCCGCAGATATCTCCGGATTCCTGGCCAGAGCACAGCCTCTTTAGCCCTGGTAAAATGTGGGGAAACCCACAGAATACGCTGCCCCACAGCTGCTCCCGTTAGGAACTCATGCTTGGCTCTGCCTTCGGCCCCCACACCTTGTCGGCTCTGTCCCAGAGGTCAGCTGGCAGCTGGGCACATCCATGTCTCCATTCCCTAACATGGCACCCCCATTCATCTATCCACGATGCTGGGGTGCTCTGCTAAGTGTGCAGATTATCCTCTTCCCCCAGATCTGACCCGGCCATCGAGGTGACTTAGAGGGGAGGGTGGCCCCCTGCAATGTGCAGGGTGGGAAGCCTGTGACCCCCCCACATCCAACCACTCTGTGGGGTGAACACACTGAAACTGTCTGCGGTGGAGGGCAGCTGTGTGCCCCGGGCGGTGCGCCAGCTGAGTTGTCACTGCCTCTTGGCGCCTTAGCACGGCTCTCACTTGTGTCACGGATGCCGATGCAATTTCATTTTGTTTTCATTTTAAATGACATCACAAAAGCTCAAGTACTCGCTCAGGGCAGTCAGGACTGTGCCGCCCAAAGGAGTGGGCGCTGCTCTGGAGAACCAAGGGCACGTGAGTGGGCCAAGGTCCGAGATGAAAACAGTCACTTTGTCCTGTGCCCGGTGAAAGTAGTTCCCGAGGCCAGCAGGACATTTTGGGGGAAGGAAAATAGCATTTTAAGATATTATGACCCTGGGATAAAAGCAGCATATGAGGCCCTAGGGAGCTGGCCAGGAGCTCCAGACCAGCAAGCCCACGCCCTAAGGCCAAGTATGCGTGGGCAGAGCTGACCTTCCAGCCAGCCTCCCTTGCCCTCAGTGCCCCTCGCCTCCCTGCCACTGTCCCGCAAGCCTTTGGTGCTAATAGGAATGCCCGTGGCTGCCACAGGGCTGGACAGCATGTGAATCACTTAAATTAGCCCAATCTGGTGTTTTGCCAGGAGACTACCTAAATTTCAGACCATTGTCTTTCTAGAGTTTACTTTACATCCAAAGGAGGTGTCAGCAAAATTGCTAGTTCTTAAGTAGTATCTAAAATGTGGTTGCAAGCCCAGGGATCTAACAGCCCCTGAGGTTCCCCTTGACCCCAGCGCCTCACCACAGGGGCCGTCCGACAAGGCGCTTCAAGGTGGCAGAGTGATGCCCCTGGTGGGCGCAACACGCAGCAGCGGCTCGTGACCGCGTCCGGTTCTCACGCTCCCCTCGGTCACGTGCAGACAAGTTGTGGTGGCAGCTTTAAGGATGCAAATGAAAGATCAAGATGAACCTCATCCCTGTGCTTGTAATGGGATAGGCACGGAGCGTGATCTTACCGTGAATTCTTGTGCCGGCAAGAGTTACCTCAGACCTCAGGGACTCAGTCCTCACCCACCATCACAGTGAGCGCTCGTGTGAGGTGGGCTGTGCCAGCAGCCCCTCGGTGGGCCTGGCTGGGGGCCTGGGAGAAAAGTGTGCCTTTCGTTCCTTGTTACTGGCCCTTTGGACCCTCATGATATAGAGGCCCTGCTGTGAAGGCTGCAGACGCTCTGCTTCAAGATACTTCACCCCTTGGAACTGTGACTCTGTTGGACGCAGTCTTGCCGTCCTGCTGTTAGATCGAGGAAAACCCAGCGCTCTCCTTCATGACTGGACCTGCACCCCAGTACGCACACAGGGACCGACCTCCCTCTGCGGGGCTCTCTGCCGTAGTGAAGGGTAACGGGAAGCCGTCCCGTCTCAAAAGAAACACAAAGCCGACAAGCTAACACTTGTGCAGCGGCCTGGGCCTTACTGGGCCAAGTTCTCCCGGTTGTGCTGACTGATGGGAAAGTTGGACTCCAGGCCTGGGGCAGACCCTGCCTGTGGGTCAGTCCTGCCCATATGCAGACAACACTTAGATTGTTGTGAATGGAATGCAAATCTCAAGTTACTACTGAATCCAATTCTCTGGATTTTTAAGTGAGCTTATGTATTAGTAATTGAGGTCCTGGATTTGGAGGGTGAAATTTCAATTATGAAAAGTAGACTGACAAATTTCATGTGGGTCTTTGGGGGCTGCTTTCTGTGCTTAGTTGAATGAGAAGTGAAAGTTCTAACAACTTTGAACATCTCTGAGTCATTCTCTTAGGAAGGTAGCATTTTAAATTTATAAAGAGAGGAGTTATTTCAAGAACTACTTTATATGCAAAGAAACTCAGGTGGGTGAAGATAAAGTGTAAGTTTGTATTGATGTGTGTGTGTGTGTGTGTGCATCTGTGTGTATGTTTACATACATAAGTATTTTATAATTTTGGGTATGGAGAATACGAATCCACACATGTGAGAAACTATAAGATACTGACAGATTCAAATTCATAGAATTACGAATCTGTTCATGGTAAAAGCAAACAAACCGACAAGCTGAAAGGTGGAACGATAATAAAACCAGGAAAGAGTTTCACAATGTAAGTGACACATAGTCACACTCCCTAATATGCACAGAGGTACCTCACCAATTAGCAAGGGAAAAACACCACCATGATCTAAGAATGGATAAAGCCCTGGAAAAGACTGTTCCCAGGCTTCATAACCAGTCAAAACTTTCTGGAGAGCATTTTCACGTACCATTGAAAACTCAGTCTGAAACTTCATTCTAGAAACTTCATTCTAGAAACGTCGTTAGAAACATCTAATGATGTTCACTATTTCATTGTAGATTATTGCAAGAAATCCTAAGTCACCTAATGCCCAGTAAGACCTGGGCTACTTTGGGGACTTTATCCTCTGGATATACTTGCAGCTGAAAGTAGTGAACATACTAAATGTTACTCATCACAACACTGTTAGTAACAGCAAACGTTCAAAATAACCCAGTGCCCACCACTGGGACCCGACACAGATCCGATATAGATACACAAGTATTAAAGTACTAGAACACTTTTGTAGACTATAATGGAACACCATGCAGCTGTTAAATTGAGTCAGACTGTTATGGACTGATAAGGAGAGATCTAGACTATATTAATTTTACAAAGCAAAGTATTGAACATTTATAGCATGCCACTTTGATATAATAAAGATGAGGAAATAGGAATAAAATTAATATCATTTGTATTACATAAAGGAACAATGCACAAGTAAGGAACTAATAAAAAATCTAAGGAGTGTGGGGAGGAAGCAGATGCCGCAGGGGGAGCGGGGCGCCTCTGGCTCGTCTGCCATTTGTGCAACTAGTGTCACACTTTC